GAGTTTCCCCTGTTGATAAAAGAGCTGCAGAATGATCAGCATCACTTCAGGTGTATTTCAGGATGTCAGAGTTTGATACGCTGCTAGCTATACTGAAACTACACATTAAAGCAACACCACCAATTTACACACAGAAACTGATCCTGAACACGGATTGGAAGGATGCAAAAAAAGTTAGAAAAACAAACCTGTTGTGAAAATAATAAAGACAGATGAAAGTTTTCAGAGTGCAAACATGATCGACTCAACATGAGATTGTATTTGTTTTTTAAACATGCAGCAAAACAGACTCAGTGTGTGTGTGTACAAACATGACTGTCAGGATTCATTGTTAAAAACACTTACCAGTACTTGTTTTGGAAATTAATTTTTGGGGCATATGACTGTCTGCGGCCGCCGACTGAATAAGATGGACTGAACAATCTGTCACTGAGAAAGCTGAAAAAGAGAGAAAGAGTAGAGAGTTAGATATCAAACCACAACAACAGATGAAAAACTAAAACTTCTAAATTAGACATCGATCCAGTAAGACTTGATTTAGTTCACTCTGAATGATAAACTCCTGATTCTTACATGAACTTTAAACCTGATCAACCTGACTATTTGGGACATTTCTGGACCAACAGCAACAACAAGTTTGAAAAATAAAACATTTAAAGGAAATCCATAACTTCATCAAAACAAAGAACTTCAGAGAGAATGTGTGTGTTGTTAATCATCATCCAGTGTTTGATGAAAGTAGCAGCGTGTTGAGATTTGAAATAAGAAAATTACTTAAAGGTGTAATATGTAGATTTTTAAAAATAGACTGAACATAATGTATTTTATTTTGTTGAGTACGTAAGCTCAAATATTTCCAACGGTTATCAAAACCAGAGAATTCCTTAAATTTATAGTTGTAGTGGGATGTGTGTCAGCCTTCTGTGACAGACACTACATATTTATCGTTGCTGTGAAACACCGGATGTTACGTCAAAGACTCTAGCATAATGTAAAGGGAACTGCTACTGAAAACTGCCGTACTGTTGCTGTGTGTGTACGATAAGTCGGACTTGGTTTTCATCGGGGGTGGAGAAGCAGAAAGAATCACTCCCATGATTCCCCCCAGCCTTTACATCATCTTATGTCATTGTTTTGATTGAGAGCCCCCTGGTGGCGGAGTCTATGAACTGAAAAATAAAACCTCTGGGTCCACCCACTCCTGAAAACAAGACAAGAGCCAGGAGAGTTTCCCCTGTTGATAAAAGAGCTGCAGAATGATCAGCATCACTTCAGGTGTATTTCAGGATGTCAGAGTTTGATACGCTGCTAGCTATACTGAAACTACACATTAAAGGAACACCACCAATTTACACACAGAAACTGATCCTGAACACAGATTGGAAGGATGCAAAAAAAGTTAGAAAAACAAACCTGTTGTGAAAATAATAAAGACAGATGAAAGTTTTCAGAGTGCAAACATGATCGACTCAACATGAGATTGTATTTGTTTTTTCAACATGCAGCAAAACAGACTCAGTGTGTGTGTGTGTGTGTGTGTGTGTGTGTGTGTGTGTGTGTGTGTGTATGTGCGCACATGACTGTCAGGATTCAATGTTGAAAACACTTACCAGTTTTGGAAATTAATTATTGGGTGTTGTGACTGAGTACTGCAGGTGGATGGATCAGATGGACGTGATGATTGGTCGTCATCACCGAGAATGTTGGAAAATGAGAGAAAGATTAGAGAGTTAGATATCAAACCACAACAACAGATGAAAAACTAAAACTTCTAAATTAGACATCGATCCAGTAAGACTTGATTTAGTTCACTCTGAATGATAAACTCCTGATTCTTACATGAACTTTAAACCTGATCAACCTGACTATTTGGGACATTTCTGGACCAACAGCAACAACAAGTTTGAAAAATAAAACATTTAAAGGAAATCCATAACTTCATCAAAACAAAGAACTTCAGAGAGAATGTGTGTGTTGTTAATCATCATCCAGTGTTTGATGAAAGTAGCAGCGTGTTGAGATTTGAAATAAGAAAATTACTTAAAGGTGTAATATGTAGATTTTTAAAAATAGACTGAACATAATGTATTTTATTTTGTTGAGTTCGTAAGCTCAAATATTTCCAACGGTTATCAAAACCAGAGAATTCCTTAAATTTATAGTTGTAGTGGGATGTGTGTCGTTACGGCAGCTTCTGTGACAGACACTACACATTTATCGTTGCCGTGGAAACACCGGATGTTACGTCAAAGACTCTAGCATAATGTAAAGGGAACTGCTACTGAAAACTGCCGTACTGTTGCTGTGTGTGTACGGATAGGGTAGCAGAGAGAATCACTCCCATGATTCCCCTCCAGCCTTTACATCATCTTATGTCATTGTTTTGATTGAGAGCCCCCTGGTGGCAGAGTCTGTGAACTGAAAAATAAAAACCTCTGGGTCCACCCACTCCTGAAAACAAGACAAGAGCCAGGAGAGTTTCCCCTGTTGATAAAAGAGCTGCAGAATGATCAGCATCACTTCAGGTGTATTTCAGGATGTCAGAGTTTGATACGCTGCTAGCTATACTGAAACTACACATTAAAGGAACACCACCAATTTACACACAGAAACTGATCCTGAACACGGATTGGAAGGATGCAAAAAAAGTTAGGAAAACAAACCTGTTGTGAAAATAATAAAGACAGATGAAAGTTTTCAGAGTGCAAACATGATCGACTCAACATGAGATTGTATTTGTTTTTTCAACATGCAGCAAAACAGACTCAGTGTGTGTGTGTGTGTGTGTGTGTGTGTGTGTGTGTGTGTGTGTGTGTGTGTGTGTGTGTGTGTGTGTGTGTGTGTGTGTGTGTGTGTGTGTACAAACATGACTGTCAGGATTCAATGTTGAAAACACTTACCGGTACTTGTTTTCTAAATTAATTCTTGGGTCATATGACTGACAGCGGCCGCCGACTGAATAAGTCATCCTGAAAGATCTGTGACTGAGAATGTTGGAAAAAGAGAGAAAGATTAGATAGTTAGATATCAAACAGATGAAAAACTAAAACTTCTAAATTAGACATCGATCCAGTCAGACTTGATTTAGTTCACTCTGAATGATAAACTCCTGATTCTTACATGAACTTTAAACCTGATCAACCTGACTATTTGGGACATTTCTGGACCAACAGGAACAACAAGGCTGAAAAAAACAAGATTTAAAGGAAGTCCATAACTTCATCAAAACAAAGAACTTCAGAGAGAATGTGTGTGTTGTTAATCATCATCCAGTGTTTGATGAAAGTAGCAGCGTGTTGAGATTTGAAATAAGAAAATTACTTAAAGGTGTAATATGTAGATTTTTAAAAATAGACTGAACATAATGTATTTTATTTTGTTGAGGACGTAAGCTCAAATATTTCCAACGGTTATCAAAACCAGAGAATTCCTTAATTTTATAGTTGTAGTGGGATGTGTCAGCCTCTGTGACAGACATTATATATTTATCGTTGCCATGGAAACACTGGATGTTACGTCAAAGACTCTAGCATAATGTAAAGGGAACTGCTACTGAAAGCTGCCATACTGTTGCTGTGTGTGCTTGCGGTGTACGGATAAGTCAGAGTTCATTCTCATCGGGGGTGGGGTAGCAGAGAGAATCACTCCCATGATTCCCCTCCAGCCTTAACATCATCTTATGTCATTGTTTTGATTGAGAGCCCCCTGGAGGCGGAGTCTATGAACTGTGCCTTTAAAGACCCAAGTATTAAAATGTATAAAAAAATATTGTTTCATTTAAAACTTGATTGATGTACATAAAAATACATTGGGCCTCATTCACTAACAGTGCATACACACAAATATGTGCTTAAACCGTGCGTACAAACGTTTGAAGCACAAATCTGGGATTCATCAATGCATTCTTACTTGAATTTATTCTTATTCTTCCTCAGACCATGCGTACACACAAATGATTGACCAGCTTTCTCAGAAAATGTTAACACACACTCTTTTAACTAAATTTATGACATATTAAAAATACATTCAGTAAATAAATATATATAAGCAATATCAATATATATATTTTTTTTAAATGTTGAAAAGACCAGCATTAAAAACGTGAATTAACTAATGCATTTACTAATGTATTAAATAATCATGAAATATTCGCCTTATCATCCTTTAACGTAAAATCTAATCATCAACCACTCCAACTAATATTGCTGAAATGAAAATATCGCATTTGTAACCAAAACCAGCTGATTAATTGGAGCCTATTTAAGAGCATGCAGGGAACATTCATGATTATGATTTACGTCTAAGAAAATGTAACGATCAGCCTTGCTGAAGCAAATTGCAGCCGGAGCCTCCATCAGGAACGCGCCTGACGATTTAGAATGATTCTGATTCACTATCATACGCAAGTTGATGAGACCAAAATTGGCTGGTACGCACGTGTCATGAATCCAACTTGGCAGTGATTTTGCGTATGCACTTATTTTATGCGCAGAGTAAGAACATTTCTACGCACATATTAGTGAATGAGGCCCAAATTGAATCTATTTGTTAGAATTGTTTTGAGAAATGGCGAAATAAAGAAAAACGAGTGTGTACATGGACTTGACCATCCCGGTCATGAGCCTCATTCTGACAACCGTAGGCGTTTGGAAACCGGCGTCCTGTAGCCTGATCACCACAGACTTGAAGAGGTCAGTATTTCTTTCTCCCATCTCAACGTCCAATTATATTGTATTAATGAAAGACAATAATCACAGAGGGATCAATTCCTACGTTTCTTCAACGCTCTCGTTGCCGCCGCCATGTTTGTTCTGATACGTCACTTGGCGGAGGCTGCGACTGAGCTGTCAGAAACCGTCTACATGCCACAGAATCCTGTTTTCTTTCTGAGTTCTCCAGGTAGCCGTACTGAGATTAGGATACTGGTTTGTGAAATTGGGATATGATGTTGTCATGATCACACAAAAAAAACGGGATACTTCAATAACCTAAAAAATATAGTAAAAAAATAATAGTAATAATTAAACAGGATACTCAAGTCCGTGTGAAAGCACTCGATGTCAGTTTTAACTGATACGGTTAAGCCTCATCAAAATATTGATATTTTTAAAACTGTCAGTCTGAATAAGATGTAAGCACATTTCACTCACCGACTGACAGATGAGTATCCTGACTCATTATCATCATCTGCTGCTTCAGCGCCATCTATCTTCAGGTGGGAGAAGGTCGGGTTGAGCCTGTAACAATAAACACGGTTATGATGCAACTTCACCAGAAAAAAGTTCATATCAAAAGAAAATCCAGATTATTTTTAAATATGATATAAAACAGTGGAATCAGTAAAAGAGGTTATGAGTTTTCTTTGTCATTTTATAAAATGTTCAACAAACAGGTGACTGATGACCTAGCAGATCGTAACGTCTCATGTATGGAGGCTAAAGCCATCCAAGTGGACGACCCGGGGTTCAACCTTTTTGACAAGCAACAGAGTCTGCTTTATGACGCTATAATGTTAATGTTTGCCTTTCTATCAACATGTAAACCAGAGGCAGTAGCATTCTTCTCTCTCTCCTTTGACTAATCCCTCCTGAAGGACGGACCAGATGAATCTGACAACTTTCTGTCATTAGATCAAACCCAGAAACTGCTTGATTCCAAAAACAATATGTACCACCACAAAGTGAAAAACCCTTTTGAATGTTTTTCTGGCTCTGCTGCTGAGAAGAAGACCTCAGGGTGGGAATCATATTACCAGAAGAGTTCAGTTAAAAAGTACTTTCCTATCAGTGGATTTACATTTACATATATTTTTCTCTGAACAAGCAAACTGTGGAAATTTGACTGTTTGTGATCAAACCACATGCAGCAACTGGTCCTTACAGGGAAACTATGAAGAATGCATCAGATGGTTCCTTTTAGAATATGATATAAAGCAGATTGTGTTCGCTCTGAATGGATGTCTCCTCTTTAAAAAGAAGCCTCCTCTTTTCTCTTGACTATGTCGAGTCGTTTAAATCATCTAGAAAGGAGGTCGTTTTTATTGACTTTGTGAATATGTTCAGCACAGAGAACAGGATTAAACCAGATGAACTTTGATTTGAAGTATGTTGTTTTCTCTTCAGGTCAAAGACTAACAGCAGAAATGTTCACTCATATAGATGTTAAAAATCTAAATAACATGATGATGACTTACTCCTTAAACAAGAGTTGTAACCTGAAGTCCCTCAGTAAGTCAGACATAATGAGTTCTTCAGACTCTGGTCTCTGCACGGCTCTGGGCTGAAAAAGGAAATGCAGAGTTAGGATTCTCCATTTCCTCCTTAACGGACACACACAAATAAACACTTTTATCATTATAGAAGGAAACTGTTGTGCCTCAGCCACTCCTCAAATGGAGGTCGGTGCTCTCAGAGAAGGACTTTAAGACGTACTGAATTATATTTTTTTGTACCTAAATCACAACTTTAAAACTTGCAGAGCACACTGATCTGACTGTGTTTATATTTCAAGTTCAGAACAACATTAAAAACTAAAACGTGTGTTTATATTAAAGATTAATTTGAAAAATAAATAAATAAATCAAAGTCTGCCTGCACTGTCAGGGTCAGTGAATGCTGCAGATTAAAGTCATGAAGCTCACAGCCGACTGAGCAAAGAATCAGTACAGAAGATATACAAATATTAAGACTTATTTCAAATTTCAAATTTCAAATTCTGTATTTCAAAAAACAAACAATAAAATAAACTACATCTGATTAGTTTGAGGATTTAGAAACACTGGATGGTACAACAGGCCTAGTCTACATTTATTAAAAGTTATTTATTTAAACAGACTTCTAAAATAAACATCTGACTTTGGACCTCCTCTCTCTCTCTCTCTCTCTCTCTCTCTCCGAGCTTCTGAAGATATGAAAAAGTAAACACCATTAAACCAACTTCTAAATACTGAAATAAAGCTTATGAAGAATTCTTTACCGTATGAGTTCACTCAAACTCAGATTAATTTCTCAGATTCGTCTAAAAATGTTGTTTGTTTACAATCCGTATCTCTCAGCCTCACAGGGTGTATCTCTTCAACATCAGCGGTGGTAAAAACACGGATATAAAATAAAGAAAACACGTCCTCTATACATTTTCTGACAAACTTTCCAAACAGAAGGACACAATTAAATAAATTACTTTCTTTAAGGTCTATAAAACATGCATAGACGTTACCTTTAGATGGAGAAAAACAAACTGCGACACAGATTGATAAAGAAAGTAATTCAGCGACCTTAAACCTTAAACCAAACAAACCTGTTCTCCTTTAACCCCTTACACATTACACAGGCTAATTAAAGAGGAATTAAGGAATTGTGACTCCAGCAGCTTCTTCCAGAGAACAAATAAATAAATCAAAGTCTGCCTGCACTGTCAGGGTCAGTGAATGCTGCAGATTAAAGTCATGAAGCTCACAGCCGACTGAGCAGAGAATCAGTACAGAAGATATACAAATATTAAGACTTATTTCAAATGTAAAACAAGAACACACGTCATGATTTTCCCTTTAAAAGTCTAAAAAACAAACAATAAAATAAACTACATCTGATTAGTTTGAGGATTTAGAAACACTGGATGGTACAACAGGCCTAGTCTACATTTGATTCAAAGTGTTTTCTTAAATAGCTCTGATTTCAGGAATATTATTGACTCTGGTGCTCCAGAAGCTTCTTCCAGAGAATGTGTGACTACTGCTCAGTCTGTGTTTTTAACAGAGCAGACACTAATGTGATGTTAGTGTAACAGTGTTAATGATTCCACTTATTTCACTAGCTTTGATTGTGTGAATACAGTTTTACAATGGACTGGTACAAACTGTGATGAATCTCTCAGTTTGGTCCAAAATGTGGTTCGTTATACCCTCCTTATCTCTCAGGCCTCACAGGATGTAGGCTATCACTTTAACTACAGCGGTGGTAAAAACACAGATATAAAGAAAGAAAACACGTCCTCTGGCCTCTACATTATACTCTATACTGACAAACTTTCTAAACAGAAGGACACAATTAAATAAATCAGTGCTGCAATTACTTTCTTTAAGGTGTATAAAACATTCACAAACGATAGGCCTACCTTTAGATGGAGAAAAACAAACTGCGACACAGATTGAAAAAAAAAGTAATTCAGCGACCTTAAACCTTACCTCTCTCTCTCTCTCTCTCTCTCTCTCTCTCTCTCTCTCTCTCTCTCTCTCTCTCTCTCGTCTTAAAATGAAGGCTTAAAAACCCAAAATAAACCTTTTTGTCTAACCTAAAAAAGTTATTCAAACTAAAGTGTAGGTTTAAATAATGACGTCAAATTGTCTTTTAATATTAATCAACTTCAATGTTTTCTAAAAGTTATCAATATGTAGACTAACAAATGTTATCTTAGGTTTTATAGCATAAAGGCTGCTGACGTGTTTCTTTATTTTGTATCCGAGCTTCTGAAGATATGAAAAAGTAAACACCATTAAACCAACTTCTAAATACTGAAATAAAGCTTATGAAGAATTCTTTACCCGTATGAGTTCACTCAAACTCAGATTAATTTCTCAGTTTCGTCTAAAAATGTTGTTTGTTTACAATCCGTATCTCTCAGGCCTCACAGGGTGTATCTCTTCAACATCAGCGGTGGTAAAAACACGGATATAAAATAAAGAAAACACGTCCTCTATACATTTTCTGACAAACTTTCCAAACAGAAGGACACAATTAAATAAATTACTTTCTTTAAGGTCTATAAAACATGCATAGACGTTACCTTTAGATGGAGAAAAACAAACTGCGACACAGATTGATAAAGAAAGTAATTCAGCGACCTTAAACCTTAAACCAAACAAACCTGTTCTCCTTTAACCCCTTACACATTACACAGGCTCAATTAAAGAGGAATTAAGGAATTGTGACTCCAGCAGCTTCTTCCAGAGAACAAATAAATAAATCAAAGTCTGCCTGCACTGTCAGGGTCAGTGAATGCTGCAGATTAAAGTCATGAAGCTCACAGCCGACTGAGCAGAGAATCAGTACAGAAGATATACAAATATTAAGACTTATTTCAAATGTAAAACAAGAACACACATCATGATTTTCCCCTTAAAAGTCTAAAAAACAAACAATAAAATAAACTACATCTGATTAGTTTGGGGATTTAGAAACACTGGATGGTACAACAGGCCTAGTCTACATTTGATTCAAAGTGTTTTCTTAAATAGCTCTGATTTTAGGAATATTATTGACTCTGGTGCTCCAGAAGCTTCTTCCAGAGAATGTGTGACTACTGCTCAGTCTGTGTTTTTAACAGAGCAGACACTAATGTGATGTTAGTGTAACAGTGTTAATGATTCCACTTATTTCACTAGCTTTGATTGTGCTGATACAGTTTTACAATGTAGGACTTAAAACATCACAACTTCACAACTTGGATATAATCGACATTTCCCACTCCTCATTAAGACTTTTAATGGCCCTTATAGCTGTCATCAGGATCAGTTAGGCCTGCACACTTTAAGTTCTTCATTTTGAGTTAAATATAACAATAATATACATTTTTAATAAAACAATATTTTCATTATAAAACATTAATATAATCAAGAATATCTCTATAAGAGGAGCTTTCTGTTATTTCTGTGGTTGGGGGCGGGACATCATTAAGAGTTGTGTTCCTCACCTGGCCAGGAGAGGCAGAGCACGTGGCAGGTTGATCACAGGAGGATGTTTGAGAGTGGTTCTGTGTATCATTCAAAAGTTTAATAAAGAGAAGACTGACCCATGAGTGAAGTTTCCTTTGAGGTGAACTGTTGTGTTCTGGTTGTTGTTTCTATATTATAGCCTACCTGAAGCTAATGGCTAATATGTTAATAGTAAAGCTAATGGCTAACATGCTAACAGGCTAAACTAGTGGCAATCATGATAGCATGAATGACAGCCTGCCATTGTAGTCCATGTTTAAAAAGCTACATTGTGTAAATATGTCAATTTGTGTTTGTGACATGTTTTTGATGCTCTCTTATTTTATGCTTTGTATATTTTGTTTAGTTCTCACAGCATGATTGATGGCATGGACATGCTCATGAATACCTGTAGCTGAAAGAACACCTTGGTTTCATGATTTCAACTTGAGGTTAGTAACAGCCATTCACGTGCTCATAACTCGTAAACGGGACATTTCCGAGGAGCACACCAAGGCAGCGTAGTCTCACCCCTGTTCTTCTTAAACCACACCCCTCAAATGAATAAAAATGTAAACTACATACCTGATGTTCTTCATTCTGCCGCTGAAGCACAAAGGAGCTCTGTGCTACGTCTTCTAGCGTCCATGTTTGTTGCTTTGTGTGCTTATGAAAAGTGTCATCAGTAGAAGTGACGATATAGGATAGGATAGGATGGTACTTTATTGATCCCCATAGGAGAAATTCGGAAGTTGCAGCAGCAGACAAGGTCATACAGAATACAATATAATCAGGTTAATGAGCGGATGTTGTTTGCAAATTTAAAAAAACATACAATTAATGAAAAACATTACTTGGCTTCACAGACCACACCACTGCAAATTACCTATTGATGGCCATATGATGGCTCCTACACGTGTATATACCTTTATAAAAGGAGAGATTCAAGTTTAGCATTGTTTGAAAAAAACATGGAAAGTTGTTTATCGTTCCTCTACTGAAATAAAGGTGGGTATGTCATGATTGGCTGAATAGGAAGGAGACATCTGATTGGCTACAGACATTTCCCTGCTGTAAAAAATGTTTTTGTGAAAAAAAATCATTCATGATTAAAGATACATGATGATGAATGTGCCGTCACTCAATGATGTTTAGATCCCAACTCCAGCAAACTTCTGGGATGTAGGGAGACTCCACCAGGCCCCTTTCCTGATAAAAACCCATAGACAGAACTTCAATTACAGACAGTACTACTAAAAGGTCCATTTAGAGTTGTATAATCTTTTGGTTCATAACATCTGTTCATAGTGAAAAAAGGATGCACAACATGATTTCTACAAGATGTATAAATGACAAAAAAGCTGCAAGATGGTGGTGACCTCTTACAAATAATCCAAGCGCTGTCTCAAACAGTCACTCATAACTGATGAAACTTTATTAGCAGAATCAGCTTTATTGTCCAGATATGCTTAATCACACAAGGAATTTTACTTTGGTAAACTGTGCTCTCTTTGTACAAAGGTATAATATTAAATATCAACAATAAACAAATAAGCAAAGACTAATATGTACAAGGCTAAATAGGCTAAATGCACAAAAACGTCCAATAACTGGGAACTGGCTCCTTGAGCTCCTCTCTCTCTCTTCCTCTTTCTCTCTCTGAATTCATATCATATGACTGCATGTTGAAAAGTATCTGCTGCGTTCACATTTCAGCTCACCCTGAAAAAGGGGACGTCAGCAAAACGTGACTTTTGAAACACTCAAAACCAGCAAGACGTTTTCTCAAAAGGGAATTCGCTGACTTTCAACCAGCTGCGTACCACAAGTCCTATTCGGACTGCTGTTTCAATATTTACGTCCCTGTGATGGTTCACCTTCAATCTGAATGTTGCAGAGGTGTAATGTGGGGAAGAAGTGATCCCCCTCTATACCATCTTCAGAGGTAGTAACACAGAAGCATTACAGCAGCTGAAAGAACAGCGCTGTGTGTGTGTGTGTGTGTGTGTGCATGATAATGTATGCGTGGTCATGGAAAAATTTGTCCTAATTCCAGTGACATTTGAATGTTGATAAAATCTTACCTGAAACAAATGTATAGTTCAGCAGAATGTTTTTTCTTGGGCCTAAATTTGTTGGGAAGAGAGAGGGAGAGAGATTAGATCGTTAGATATTAAACATTAGCAACTGCTGAACAGAGAAATCGCAAAGTAGGAATATGTGCAGTCAAAGTTAATTGTCTTCAATCAGAAGAGGTTTCCCATGCTTCTCACATAATATGAAACCTTGTGGCCTATAGGGCTCAACAGTGTGGATCCAGAAGTAGAACTCCCATTCATTTTCTCCATTGTGGATTTGATTATTAGCCATAACATCATCATAACCATCCAAAGTAGACTGACCACGAGCTACATGAGTGCGAAACGATGGCATGCTCCTGTAGGAGACCCAAGTTTGAATGATATTAACCTGATGATATTAAAACGTGGTTTATTCCCAATCGGGGAAAAGAACTACACTACCCACGATCAATGAGCGTCACAGCGACGTCTCTGATTGGTGGAGACAAAGCAATGTTTTCCGCTCCCTGCGCCAAATGT